CTAACCAATTTATAACCTAAAGCTCTAATGAAACGATGCAATGTTGACCTAGACATGTGAAAGTCAACGTAAGCACGAGTGAGCTCAGCATGAAGAACGCTCAAGCTCATGCCGTCTTTTGGCAATTTGTTCTCGATCAAATCCTTAACAGTTTCTCCCCATCTGCCACCATATTTCATCAAAGTATTTTGCTTCCTTTGTTCTTTTGTAAACGCCGCTTTCGGTTCCGGTCGTGGCAATAGTTCGAACACAAACTCGTCTCGCGACCCTATTCTCGTCACCGTGTCTGTAGTGACGCCGCAAGCCCAAGCTGTCAGCTCCACCGTTCGACTGAGAACCGTTCCCTCACACGCGTCGCCGAGAACCTTCTTGAGCTCCTCGAAGAATACTCGCACTCGTCTGATCATAACCTTGGACCTCTTTCCTAGGACAGGATGGCATGATTCTTCCGAATTTACTTCTGCTAGCTTTTCGGCTGAGAGTTGTTTGATGAGAGTGCATATATACTGAAATCAAGGGTTCAGAAAACATCCTTATCAAAAAGTTAAATGTTACTTACATAGTCTTCTGCTTTTACATTTGAGGAACTTTTCTGTAAAAAACAAGATCAAATCCTTGCTTAATTAAATAAAGACTCAAAAATTAAGGGCAACCAATATTCACCTGCAACTGAATGCGTTCCTTTTTGATACCATTTGAGCCAAAGCCCTGCAATAAATCAGTATTTTCTAAAACGATGTATCGCGCATAAATTAAGAAACTTACCCCGTTGACTGGCGGCTTCACATCTTCAACCTCCACAACTCTTACATCATTACTTATGTCATTACTCTGAAGAATGTCTACAGAGCTCATCTGTCCAGCGGGGTTGGTGCCAGTCACGAATCTTGGGTTGAAAACCGCGTTCTATAATGCAACCAATGCAACATCAGTAAAAGGAAAATCTTCATACTTATTCAAATGCGATGTGGTGAATGAAACCAACAACAGGGTAATGACAAAGTGCCCATTACAATTATGGAGGGATCGAAGTAAATAGGGAGAATTACAGGCTATCTCAGCTGCAGTGTCGGATGAACCAGCTGCTTGGATCCTCGCGTGGCCGCCTCAGTCGGACCCCGCGCCACGTTCGCGAACGGAGAGTCGAGCTTCAATCGTTGATTAGGCTGAGAAAATGGTTAGAACACGTTCGCGGAGAGGTCCGAGCCCAAACGAAGCGGCCACGTGGGACCGGAACCGCTGGCGCACGTGATACTGCAAATGAAAATAGCCTGCAGAGATTTCTTGGATATTGAATTTTCGAAAACTGCAGAAGTTTGATCACATCATCATAATCGATCCAGAGCACAAATTAGAGTTCAAACTTCCCAAGAAATCAAGCTATTACTTTTCCACAGAAAAAGACGTACCAACCTCTTCACTTGATGTTTTCTTGTCTCCCGTTAGGGCTGCTATAATCGCAGTATGCTGAAAAAAGTTTCGATGTGATTCGGATTATTCGACTCCAATTCCTTTCAACAAAAGAGGGAAGATACCTTTTGATCTGCAGTGAAATGGACGCCTGATAGGTGGGGGGCTTCTTCTACGGGATTTGAAAGATTGTTGAAGTGATTGTTCTGTAAAATTGAGATAATTTTTAAAATTT